GCCCGCTCCTTCTGCATGCGCAGGTAGCGGTCCTCCTCCTTCAGGTACCAGATGGGGGGCCAGCGGTGGCTCTCGAAGTAGGCCCTGTTCTCTGGGGAGAAGCCAGGCCCAGTAGACATCAGGTGCTGCTGCTGCTGGGAGCGGGGGGGGGGGGGCGCCCCCACCGCCCCCTTTGGGGCCCCCCCCCCCCCCCCCCCCCCCCCCCCCGCCAGGGCCCCCGGGACCGGCCCATGGCGGGCCCCCTCCCCCCCCCCCTCCCCTCCCCAGGTAAAAAGGCATGGCAGCCGGCAAGAGGCACAGAGCCGGGAGCACTGAGGCAGCTGGTAGACAAGGCAGAGGTGCCTCCCCACAGCAAAGGCACCAGCAGTAGGGCAGCCCCCCCCCTCCCTCACACACACACACACACACACCCCGGGTCCCTGCTCAGGAGACGTGGCGGGGCGGGTGGGGGCGCCAGAAGCACCACTTGCTGCGCGGATGCTGCTTGCGGAGGGCTTCCTCCTCCTCCTGCGCCCGCTCCTTCTGCATGCGCAGGTAGCGGTCCTCCTCCTTCAGGTACCAGATGGGGGGCCAGCGGTGGCTCTCGAAGTAGGCCCTGTTCTCTGGGGAGAAGCCAGGCCCAGTAGGCATCAGGTGCGGCGGCGGGGGGGGGGGGGGGGGGGCGCCCTCACGCCGCCCTTATGGGAGCCCCCCACCCCTCCCCAGTTCCTCCCTGGCGTGCAGACCGGGATGGATCTGGGCCAAGGGAGGCAGAAAGTGGGTGAAAGGAAGGAGGCGTGCCGAGCGAGCGTAGGGCTTACCGGGAGACAGGGCCTTCATCTCGCGGGGGAACCGCCGGCAAACACTGTTGTAGTTGGTGCAGATGTAGTGAAGGCACCAGGCAGCCAGCTGGAGAGCGTTGTGGAACTGCGTTATGGGAAGGAGCACGGTTAGGCCACCCAAACCCTGATGCCACCTCTTTCCCTCCCTCCCTGCCTGGGGAAGTTCATAGCCACAAGAGTCACCTGAAGGGGGGGGGAGGAAGGAAATCCGGCCCACTTTTGGCCTAGCGGTAAAGGCATCAAACTAGACACTGGGCGACAGTGAGTTCCAGTCCCGCCTTAAGCATGAAAGGCGGTTGGGGGGGGCTTTGGCCCAGTCAGTCGCTCTCTCAACCCAGCCCACCTCACAGGGCTGAGAAAAAGAGGAAGAGGAAGGAGTATTCGCCACCTTGAATTGTTTATAAAAATAACAAAGGTGGGATTTAAAACAAATCTAAAACCTAAACTTGCAGGGAGCCTCCCCTCAGATTTCCTGCCAGGTGGCAGTCAGCCCGGTGAGGCTGCAGCATACCTGTGTCATTTCCAGGTAGAGGATCACCTGGGCATCGATTTCCACCTGCTGAAGGCTGGCACGCAGCAGCTCGTCCACTGCGTACTGCTCTGGGAAAGGAGGGGAAGCAATGCCACTCAGGGCGGAGCGGTCTTCCTCGCAGCCCCGTGAAACGCCTGCTCCCTGCCCTCGGTGCCCAAAAGGCCTCCCGGAGGGGAGCCCCGAAAGGACTCACCGGTCAGGGCTTGCAGGCGGGTCAAGCAGAGGCGGTTGGTCAGCTCCAGCAGCTCCATGGCATCCAGGTCGGGGCTCGGGACAAAGAGCTCCGTGTACAGGAACTCCAGCACAGCCCGAAGACAGGCGCAGTTGGTGCCCGGCAGGGAGACCTGGGGAACGGCAAGAGTGGACGCTCAGGGAGGCGTCAGGTGCTGCTGCCCTTCACCTCTGGCAGCTGTTCGTGGCAGTTCGGGAGGTATTCCTCTTGAAGCAGAAAACTGCCGGCTCCATGGTCCCCGGCAAGCGAGGAGGGGTGGGGTGAAGGCAGTGCTGAAGAGCAGGCTAGGGAGAAGGTTGGCCTTTGGGGGCAGATGTTTTTTTCCACAGTGTTGGGGGGGAGGAGTGATGGGACTGGCTGTCCCTCCCCTCAGAACCAGGGACAGCACCAAAGCCCCTCCTGCTCCTCTGCCGGGACACTGGCCCTGGCCCAGGCAGCCTCCTCCAGGGGTGGGATTCTACCAGTTTGCACCTATTCGCTAGAACCAGTTGTTAACATTTGTAAGCAGTTCGGAGAACCGGTTGTTAGAAGAAATTACTGGCCTAATCCTGTAAGGAAGGCAGGAAGGAAACATTCTGGTGTTGCTTATAGAAACTGCCTCTCCGCTAACCCTTATTACATTCTTGGCAAGACTAGACTTCCTGTCTCTGGAACGTCTCTGGAGTTTTTTTCCCCTCCTTTGCTGGTACTTTGCTTCTGTGGAGTGACCATTCAAAGTTACAATGGCACTGAAAAAAGTGACATGACCATTTTTCACACTTACGACTGTTGCAGCATCCCCACAGTCATGAGAGGCCAGGCGAGGAGATATGTGTGCCTCAATGTGAGTGATGTTGAGTTGGCCACGCCCAGCCAGTCACATGACCACCAAGCTATGTCCACCCAGTCACATGACCACCAAGCCATGCCCACCAACTAAGCCACGCCCACAGAACCAGTTGTTTAAAAAATTGAATCCCACCCCTGGCCTCCTCCTCTTCAATTGTCCCCAAGAAACAGTGGGGTTGGCAGGCCCTGTGGTCTCCTGCCACCCAGGACCCCCCCACATGGCTGGGGGTCTCTAGGGGCCAAGCTGGGGCTTCCACACACCCAGGCAGGGAAGACACTCCTCCCAAAAGCCACCTAGGAGAGACCGTTGAGACACCCCTGGGGAGCCCCCCCCCCCAACGGCACAGGCACAGCAGCTGAGGCTGCCCGCCACAACCGGGAGTCCCCTGCACAAGCCTGCCTCCTTATAAAGCGACAGCAGGGTTACCTGCCTCACCTCAGCAGCGCAGCTCTCCCGGAAGGTGCCCCCAAACATGGCCACCATGAAGTCGCAGCCGGCGAGCAGAAGGGGCTTATGCGCTGGCACTGAGCCATCATCCACCAGGAACACCACATCTGCCAGGGGTGGGGGGGTGGAGAAGAGAGAGGGGAGGTCAGTGCTGGGGAGGGGGCCGCCTACGGGAGCTGCTCTCCAGCCTCCCTCCTCCTCTTCTCTGCTACCTGCGAAGGAGCCTTTGCTCAGGCACTCCTTGATCCGGTTGGCCCGGCGCACATGGAAGGCCTTGGTGATCTCGCGGTTCATGAAGCTCTCCTTGTTGAGGACATTGGCCACCATCATGCGCAAGTCAAACACCTCCAGCAGCTCGGCCATGGCGGCCACCTGCATGAGGCTGGCCTGGGGTTGATCTAGGCGCCCGGTGTACAGGTACTCCAGCACCACCTTGAAAGGGCCCAGCTGCACCGGCTCCTCCAGGTACACGGCCGTCATCGGCTTCTCCTGCTGCGTGACTGGATCCCGCACTCTCTCCTGCTGCACGTCAACGATGCCCCGGCCCCAGCCAGAGGCCGGGCGAGGCATCCGAGGGGCGCACAGCGGCTCGTCACTCTGAGAGGGACGCAGCGGCACGGCCTGCGTGGCTGTGGCCAGGCATCCCTGGTCCGCTGCATCCAAGCTCTTTGTCCGCCCGGCGGGTTCCTTCCCACCGGCTGGCTCGTCCCCCAAGTCCAGCGCGAAGAGGTCGTAGAATCGGGAGCAGGCCGTGGCCAGGTAGACTCTATGCGCAAAGAGCTGGTGGCCTCCTGGCAGGCGGAAGACCACATCGGCACAAAGGGGCTCGTGGAAGAGCGCGCCGGGCCCACGGCCTTCCCCAGCAGCTGGCTCAGGGATGTGGATGATGGGCGGGGGAGGCTTGGGGGGCAAGAAGGGGGCCTGCAGCAGTGGCCGCTGCATCTTCTTCAGGTGGGATTTCCAGAACTGGAGGTGGCGGCGGGAAATGAGGGCGGCCCGAATGGCATTGTCGAAGACGTCCTTGATGCCAAATTGGGCCACGACGCTCGTCTCGTAGTAGGGGATGCCCAGCTCCTTGGCGACCTCATGCCCGCACTCGGGGGGCAGGATGTCCGAAGGCTTAATGGGTCTGAAACAAAGCAGGAGGGGACGCCAATTAGCAAGGAACGCCCAGGAAGGCTCCCGTGAAGGGCAGACTAACCGAACTGGGGCACAGAGTGGAGGGCACCCCCCTGGGAACAGGCAGGAACCAATCTGGGATGGGGGGGGCTGACCACACCTGCCAGCTCCCCCTGCCCAGAATGAGTGGCCTCAGACAGCGGGACGGGGCCCTACTTGGCCAAGGGACGACGCGCCCGGTTCACTGCCTCAAGGTCTGCATAGCGCAGGTCCAGCTGGCAGCCCACCAGCACGATGGGGGTACGTGGGCAGAAGTGCTTGATTTCTGGGTACCACATGGTCTTCACATGCCGCAGCGAGTTGGGGTTGGCCAAGGAGAAGCAGAGCACCACCACATCGGATCTGTCGAGAGAAAGGGGACGGCATCAAGAGGACGACATCCTCCCGCAGTGTGGCACAGGCAGCTGCTAGTCCCAGGCTGCTAGTCTTCAAGGGGCAGAGGCGGGGGGGCACAAAGGGCCACCCTGGGCAGGCCAAGGCCAGGATGGAGGGCCGGCTCTGCTGCTCTGGCAGGGCCCCAGAACCCTCTTCTTCCCTGAGCCCCATCTGTGCAACCCCCTTTCACCCAGGGGCTACAGGGGTCTCCAACCTTGGCAACTTTAAGCCTGGAGGATTTCAACTCCCAGAATTCCCCAGCCAGCTTTGCTGG